GGTAACTATCAGTACGGGAAATCGGACCAGTCCTTCCGGATGGTGTCATGGACTAGCGCTGCTAAACATGTGTGCAACGTGTGGTGGAGAGCAGTCTTTTCGATGGACTCCCTTGCCTGCATACGTTCGAAACACCTACGACGGTGAGGCAGACCATACCGCTGGCCTGGATCCCCTGGCAATCTTGACGCCGTTCTCGCGCCTGCCAGCCATAGAATGCAAGGAATCATAGCGGTGTAGAGTCTTGGGCCTCGCTTGCATCAACGGCGACAATCTATTGAACGAAGACAGCCTGACAACTTGTAGTCAATGTCGAACAACATCCGCAGCTACAGAACGTGCCGCAGTAGCGCTCCTGTCACATTTCGAGCGTGTTTCAATGTATGCCATCTGCATTCGGTTTCTGAGGCTGACTCTGAACGCTGTATTCGAACGCGAGGTATCATTTGTGGCTCAGTCTTCTTCGGCCTGAAAGACGATATTTTCCGATACGACCGCAGTCCTGGTCGACGGTCAAAACGCTGCATGATCCTTGAAGAGCAGATCTGGGATCAGCACCTCTCTGAATTGGGGTCATGTCAACCGGGGGTTGTGGGCGTTGAAGACAAGGCGGCTGTCGAGCCGTGGACGAGGTTAGAGCTTGCAGCGTGAAGGTGACACAAGCAATCGATTTGGCAAGCGCTCGGCAGCAGAAGACACTAACATGACTTCCGACTTCCCCGCCTCGAGCAAAACGATGAGAGCAAAGAGAACTTGCATGCAATCATTTGAACGTCGAGTCCTGTGGTGGCGAAGTGACGAAGAGCAGTCGTCGCACACAAAGGCGATTAGCACGGCTGTCGGGTCCAGTAGGAACATGCGGCTCAAGGTCCGAAATAGCAAATCGATAATTCAACTTTACTTTGAATGCATGGAAAAAAAGAGAGGGAAACGAGCTTCCCGTACGTAGGTGTTAACACATGCAATTGTCCCAAACGCATCGATCCTTTCTGCCATTCTACAAAACAAACTCGCAGCGCAGGCTACAGTGTACTGGGGATTACTTATCGGGTGCGACCTTTTCATAGCCAGATAATACATACAGGATGGTGCATGCTAGTTGCTGATTCATCCCCAATCTCCTCAGTCCTCAGAATGCCAACTCAAAACGTCAGCGCTTGTTCGCTTGATGCCATACGCCATCAAAGAAAGCCAGATCATGGAAGTAGTCTATCAATTATGGTGAAACGCCAGCGTGGTTAACTTTTTTAGATGAGCAAGACAGCGGCCAAGGCAGCAAGGCCGAGAGCTCCGTTGACAGCGCTGGAAGAAGCAGCACCGGTCTGTCCGTTGCCGCTGTTGCTACCGCTCTGGTCAGTGGGCCTGTGGCCCTCCTGGCCAGGGTCCTCAACCTTGCCACGGCAGAAGTATCCGCCACGGATCAGCTTCTTGTCCTTGAGAGGCTTGTAGAAAGCGCAGGCAGCGGTCACGTTGTCAGTAGACTGGAGGTTGAAAGCTCCCGCGACATCATTGAGCTTGGGGGTTTCGACTCTGTGTGTTGTTAGTGGACGATGACTACTTGTCATGGGAGAAGACGTACTTGGACATGTTGCCACTCATATCGAAAGCACCACCAATGCTCTCCAAGCCGGGGAAACCATCAATGGTCTGGAGCGCAGAGTTGTTGGCGATTTGGAGGTTACCCTGAATCTTGGTCAAGAGCGGGAAGGTAAGGTTGGAGAGCTTGTCGTTGGCGACAAAAGCAAGAGCCTGGCCAACAGAGGTCAGGTTAGGAGCAGAGAAAGACTCGAAGCCGTTGTTGTAGAGACCAAGGGAGCCGTTCAGCGTCTGGAGGGAGGGCAGATCAACAGATCCGCAGAAACGGAAAGTCAGGTTGCTAGCCCAGATCAAGTTTGGCAATTGAACCTTGACGTTCTCGTTGTTGTCAGCCAGCGTCAGCGAGGTGGAGACGTTTCCGAGCTGCATGGCGATTTCGTCAATGTAGCCGTTGTTGGCGATGAAGACCGTGTCCACCTCCTGGATGTTGATGCCCTTGAGCGAGCGGAGACCGGTGTTCTGGATGTCGACCTTCTCAGCCTCCTCCACCTCGGCGGTAAATCCGATAGTCTGGAGGTTGGGGAGGGCGTTCCACTTGATCGAGTCGATCATCTTGAGCTTGGGGAAGTCGACAGCGCGCAGGGCGGTCAGTCCGTCCAAGTGCATCTCGCCGTCGAGCGTCTCGAGGTCGCCGGCACTGAGGCGCTTCATGTTGGGGTTGTCGATAGCGACGAGGTTGCCCGTCAGCTTCTTGACACCGCTGATGACAATGTCATCGGTCGTGGCCGTAGCCACGGCAATGGATCCGGAGAAGGTGGTGCAGGTGGCGATAGCGGTTGCATCGGCGGCGTTCTCGAGGGTGGTGGTGGCGGAGACACTGCACGCGGCTGTTGGGGGTTGTTAGCAATTTCTCATCGTGCGAGCGGCTCCGAAGAGCTGTGGGTGGCGACGTACCATAGGCACCGCTGGCCGCAGCCAGGGCTGGGACGACGAACTTGAGCATCGACGGCATGTTGTGAAGTGGAGGCAGACTGCTAACTGCAAGCAATGGATGTCAGCAAACGCGTGCGGGCAGGCAATGGAGAAGCCAGGGAGGTGCTTGTGGTACCAACCTGGGATATTAAGACTGCTCGCTCCGGATGGTGCAGGCTAAGGTGCTGGTGCTGTTGATGGCGGTGGTGTTGGTGGTGGTACTGGTTGGAAAGATGCTTGAAACGAGGGAAAGAATCAAAGACAGAAAGCACACAGTATTAAAAGGAGTAGTTCCCAGGAGCGCGTGAAGAGAGCACGACCGTCAGTTAACGAGGGTGGATTGAAGACGGAGACGGGAGAGGAAGGGAAAGGGCAGGGCGGGCGCGGCTTGCAGAAAAGGAGAAGAGAAGGGCAGAGTGCCAGTGCCAGGCTGGGCGGCGCTAGTCTGCTAGCGGGACTAGGGGCAGATCACATGACATAGTAGTTGACCTCCATCCACACTAATGCCATGCCTAGCAACAACTCAGGAGGAGCAAGACATACTCCTAAACATGACCTAGGTAGTCGGACGTACTATTATCTAGAGTGGTCCTCATACCAACCTGCTGGCCGTCTGGGCCCCAGCAGCTAGAAACGCCCATGATGGGTGGATGGCTGCATGGCTGGCTGGCTGGCGGGCTGGCGGGCTGGCTGGCGGGCTGGGTGGATGGATGGATGCTCGGTGCATGCATGCATGGGGGATACTGGTACATGATGAGATTCATGAGAGCATGGCTGATTCCTGTTGAGGCACGCGAAACAAGCCAAATTGCCAATCGCCTTGGTGTGTCCCATCATCATCATCATCATCATCATCCTCTGGGCTCCAAGCAGAACCGAACGTTTATTTTCCCATCTTTCATGACTGGAGAGGCCGATGTGCTTTTTTGCCTTGTTCTGATTCTCCTTCTTCTTTTTCTGTTACTGCTGCTGTTGTTTTCTTCTGTTGTGTCACTGCTCCCTACTCTCTCGCCCTCTCGCTCTCCTCTCCACTCCCATTCCCCCCTCTCCTGCTGCTTCCACACACGATACCCGACAAACACGGGCTTTCCGTTCGGCGGACGTGTCAGGTGGTTTGACAGGCCAGCGCATCTTGGAACATGGAGCGCATCCGAATCGGCGTTTCTAGACACCGTGACATGCTTCCACGTCCTCTCGTCGGCTTCGTATGTCTTGATTACGCCCGCCCAGCACAATTCCCAATTCCCGCCCAAGATCACATGCGTCGTGCGTGGGAGAGCTAGCCATGTCTCCTGAGTCTTGGAATTCCTGTTTCCATCGCCGAGCCGGGTAGGTACTGTAAATTTAGCATGTGCAGCCATGCTTTTCTTGGAACCCTCAACGTTCACCATCGGCTGTAGCTCCCCTCCCTAGCCCGTGCCGCACGCCACAGTGCTGTACTAGGAGCACTAAGCATACGCCATCCGCCCTGGCCAAACTCGCTTTATCGAAGGCTCGCCATGTCGAGGCTCGAGCAGACTGGCGACGAGTCGCTTGCTTGCTCGTGCTCAGACGCTCGGCCAACGCTCACTCCGGCTCCCGGGAATGGAGAATGCCAGTAGATCACGTACCACGATAGTATGTCATGCACATGCCGACCTACTACGAAAACATGGCATAATACCTGTGAAGCAAGAAGACTCGTTTTGCGACAAATAACAAGGCTGCGATGCGGGTGCTGAAACCCTCCAAAAGCAGCCCAGCACACCACTCATGCGGCGAGAATGGAGAGAGAGAGGATTGCGCGTCCCCTTCCATCCCTGCAACCTGCAACACGCTCGTTCCATAATTGGGTGGCTGCTGCCCTTCTGGGTAAGCGAGCCGGACATTGAGCTATCCCACCAAAATCCTCTTCATCAAGCACAAGCTCCTCCTCTCCCCCCCCCCCCAATCCGCACCACCCTTCAACTCTAGGTACGCCATAAAGGACTCTGTCGAGGTCAATCGCTCGCAAATTTGTCTGTCCACCGCATCAGCCTTTTCTCTCCTTTTGTTGCCTTCTCCTTCTGCCCCTTTCCGGCCGCACCCGGTGTCATCATCCAATTTCAAATCCCCTTACGAGGCCTGCTGGGTAGGTAAACATCCGGTCGAATGACAGGGTTCGCTTATCGGTCCTCAAAGCTCGCCCTATACTAGGAGTAGCCAAAAGAGCTTCTTCACCTACTGGTACATTTGCCAAGCGCCTTTTTCCATCTTCTATATTCTTAGCTCATCTCCCGCCATCCAAGCTCAGATTCTTGATGGATACGGTCGCCTTTTCTATTGTATCGCACACGGGTAGGGGACCAACA